CATTACAAACGGCTAGATACTTGAAGAAATAAGAAATGCATGTTTTGAAAATTTGAAAACTGACTTGTGTAAAATTATTAGGTCTTTTGGGACATTTTCTTAGAAGGTTCATATGAATTTAGGCACCAATTACTTTAAGATAATATTTTTGTTGAAATGTGTAACATATTTGATTGTAAAACATATTTAACAAAAGCAATGACTGAAAGAACTGAACTAATGAAAAACATTACCACCAATATTTAATTTTTATGTTATTTACTGTACTAATATACTTATATTTTTTGTCATTTATTTATTTACTTTGTATTCTGTAATGGAATTCTCTAATTTTTTTTTCTTTTCTTTCTCAATTTCTTTTTTTGTACATTAAGGTAGTCCTTAATTACCACAGAATAATGAGAGTAACATTTCTTTTGCTTGTCCAGTATTTTTTTTTTCTATACTCATTTATCTTTTCAATAATTAATTGTTATATATTGTCAGTTGTTGTTTTGTAACAGTTGTACGGGTCGAACCTCTCCTGCGCGAGAGTGTTCCTCTGTTATAAAAGAGAAAAATAAATCTTATCTTGAATGCTACAGTATGCAAGCCCTTTGCAAGATACACATTGTACACATTTGCCCTTTATTCTTAGCATCAGGTTTTAACCTTTTGAGCATTCTTTATTCTTATACACAGGAACTTTCCAGTAAGCTTTTCCAAATGCATGTGTACTGGATACATTAATGATTTTGACCAGTCATTTAGCTACACTTGTCCTTACAGTGGCATTGTCAGAGGTGTTAACAGCTAGGCCTACATTCTAACACACCTTTCAAACTTTAAAGGAGTTCTGAAAAATAAATTGTTTGTTTGCCCTTCTATTATTAAAAATGATAAATAAGTGCGGCTAGAAAAAAGTTTTTTTAGTTTTTTTTAAAGATACATACGAAATGGAATAAAAACCCTCAGAGGCCTAGAATTGCAATATCTTACATCAGACAAAAACTTTAGGCAAATTTGTTAGGGCATCTAGCGAAAAATAAAGATAAATTCACTCAGATTTTTTTTTTTTTTAAAGAGAAAAGCTAAAAAAAAAAAGCCTTTTTAAAGATTTTATGTTTTCCGCCCCACCCCCTTCCTTTTTTTTTAGTGAGTTAGGGGCAGGAGGAGGAGGGCAAACAAACATTTGAAACTAACAGAGGGTATTCTAAACGCAGTCTATACATATGTGGAAATCATGTAGACCATGTTTGTCTATGGTGAGTTAATAATTTGGTTTGTCCTTAATGAGTTATACTGTATTTATACATTTTTTTTTTACAACTTTCAATCCACCATTTGCGTCTGACCAGTCACATTATCTTTTCTCGCTTTGTTGTTGTCTTTAACGACTGTAAAGATTGCAGCTCGGCGATTGAGTGTGTCTGTTGTATATTTAACGTGAAATTTATTTTATCAAATCACTAACAAATGTTAATTTGAAACTCTATGGTAAGATGTCTCTTAAATATTGTAATCTTGTATTAGTGTTTGTCTGTGGACATTCCTTATTTCATTACGAGTTATGTACATTTTCCTAGCGATTACCTGTATGCATTGAGGCGTCTTTTGCACCAGGGTCGACTAATCAACCGAAATATTAAAACATGGTGACGTGGAGCAAAATCGGGGACCGGAACCTGATCAACCTAATATCCCCGGTACATCTAGAAAACCACACCAATGTATTTCATGTTTGTTACTAAATACTCCTTGGAATTGGTTACCCAATGCATGAATGTAGATATTCTGATTCTGAAACATGGTTGAAGATAGGTGATGATAGTAATGGCCTTCAATTTGCGAATGGATATGAAATATTTCGACGTGACCGACGGTCAAATAAAAACGGAGGAGGGGTTCTGATTGCTGTCAAACCTGACCTCAATCCTAATATCGTTGCATGTGATGATGTATTAGAAATTATTTGGATCACTCTTAGGCTCAACAATCACAAATTGCTTCTGGCAGCTATATATCGTCCTTCTAATGAGAACATTGCTTATTGGACAAAGTTTGAGCGTGCAATTTCGAAATTTGAACTTTCACACGCAAATTATGAAGAAGTTTTTATAGCCGGAGACTTCAACGTTGACTGGCCTAGTGCTCCTCATCAGCTTACCGATACTATGGAACTATAAGGATTGGTTCAGATTGTTTGTCAAAATACAAGACTGTCCAATAACTTACAAGGTGGAACAACTATCCTTGTCTTTACCAACAGGAAAGATCTAGTTTTTTTTTTTAATGTTAAAAATCCTATGAGCAGTGATCATCTTGCTGTATCTTTTCGCTTTCAAGCTGTAAGTCCACCACTGAATAAATCATTAATACGGTCGTACCTAAAGATGAACAAAGGTGATTTTGCAATGTACACTATTCATTGACAATAATGACATTCATGCATCGTGGGAAAGTTTTGTTGATATATTGCAGCAATTCGCGATAGCATTCCATCTATAACGCGTCGCTCAAAGAAATCTGACAGTCCTTGGGTTACAAAAGAAATCAAACGACTCATACAGAAGAAACATAAACTTTTTAAGAAAGCAAGGGCCATAAAAAAACTTTATTAGATGGGTCCTTATACAAAATTGCTAGAAATAAAGTGAAATATGAGATAAAGGAATCATATACCATATTTTTGAATAAAATGTTTAGTTCACCTGATAATAAGAACAAATTCTGGGCGTTTGTAAAATCTAAAAGGTCATCAGCTTCTCCCACTACTTTTAGTAATATTAATAATGATGTTTGTTCATCAACTTACGACATAAGTAATGAATTTAATAGTTATTTTATTTCTGTGTTCAATTTATCTTACCCTCCTCCTGCTTCTCCCCCTCCTTGTGATCTTCCTATTCCTGAAATGACTAATATTTTCTTTGATTCTAATGATATATCTTCCTCTTTTAAAATTAATCAGTCTCCCGGACCTGATAATTTAACTCCTGAGCTTATACAACTGATTTCTCCTTCTCCTAATTTTCTTTGGCTTCTCTACCGTAAGTAAATTGATACTGGCCAACTTCCAGGTGCCTGGAAATAATCAAATATTATATTATAATGCTGGTGAAAAATCCAAAATTTGTGATTTGTGCTCTAATGTTATTTCTAATTATGCATTGTTTGCTGATGACGTTTTATTGTTTAAATCTATTGTTAATTTTGAGGATACTGTTTCCTTTCAAAGAGATCTTAACATTCTCAGTGATTGGTCTGTCAAAAATAAATGGCGTTTAATCCTTAGGAGTTTACTTGGATCACAAATTATCTTGGATTGTACATATAGATCAACTCATATCTAGAGCAAATATAATGGTTGGTCTTGTTTTAAATATTGCCGGTAGTAACCCACCTAATGTATTATCATGTTTGTAAAAATCGTTGATTCTGCCAATCCTCGACTATGGCCAACCAGTTTGGAATCAAATTCAAGAATCAGGTTGAGCGCATAGAGAGAATACAGCGCAGAGTCACGAGGGGTATATTAAGGATTAGGAGAGGCGAACTGTCATATGTCAAACAATTAAATCAGCTTGGCTGGATATCCCTTGCGTAAGGACATTCTTACCACTTTTGTTTTTAAATGTTTTTACCGCTATGCTAATTGCGACACCATTAAAACACAACACGTTATTAACCCTAGACACACTGACTATCTTTCATTTAAACATCCATTTTCTCGCACTATTGTTTGAAAAATACCCCTTTTGGACATCATTACCAATCACGATCAAAAAGATTTTATACTTATCATACCTTCAAACAATATATTTTGAAGTCTAAACAATAATCTATTGTACGTTGTTTGGTTCAACATAAAAGCAATAATTCTAGTAAAAGATTTTATCAGTCAACAGTCGATTTAAATGATTTTTGGCATGTTATTGTATATAGAACAGCACATTCAATTTATGATTACTTCATGCCTATTACTCATTCATACAATACTAGATTAAATACAAGTGTTAATTTTGCCCTGCCCAAAGCCCGTATTGATTTAGTCAAATATAGAATTTCATTTGTTGGTGCACAATTATGGAATGGTCTTAGTAATTCTATTAAAAATATTATTTGTAGAAAACGATTTGTTGCAGAAGTAAAAAAAAAAAATTATTAGATATGTATATTTAAAATTTTGGTTATATTATTTTTATTATGTTTTATATTTATGTATAATTTTCATTCATGTTGTACGTCCGTCCATATTTAACAGATTGTAGTATCCTTGATTTAGATAGATTGTAGATTCCTTGATATTATTTTATCTAGAAGGTGTTAAGCATTTGATTAGTTATTTTTGTTAACTAAACCTTACCACCTTTTGTCAATTATTATATAACTACAACTATTCTTGACGTTGAATACTATAGATTAAATTTTAAATTTTATGTGTTCTGTACTCTGTATTTAAAGGGACAGCTGGCCTCTGGGGCATAGACTTGTTTCTTTAGCTGTCCCTTACCATGTTTCTTGGTAAATAAATAAATAAAATAAAATAAATATCTTGAACCGATGCCATTGTAAGGCTACAGTTACTGTAGCCCCTGCCTTACCTCTCGTCCACTCGGCACGTCATGGTCGACATGCAGAGCTGTACAGGGAGAGGGAGCTTAGAGAAAAATAAAAAAGACACGAAATATTGACAGCATTCAACTTTAATTATCAAATAAATAATAGAATGCCTTGTATTTAAAGCTAACTTGCTGGTTGATTCACTAGTAGAGGTGGTAAGAATATGGCTTTTTAACGTTGAGCTAAACTTGCAATATCTGGGTTTTGATGTTCGAATCGTCTTACTTCTTGTGTGAATTTTATAGTACCTATTATATAAAGAATTCAAAATATAAGTTTAGAATCAAATTTAAAATAAAACAATAGATGGTCGTCGTCTAATGAATCAACAGATTATCGCAACCAAAACCACCATCTATCCACCTTCATCACCTAACCATAGAGTAAACATTCTTTACCTTCTCCATCAGCTGTGAATCCATAATTCTGAATAACTTGCTGCTGGATCTGAGTTGCTACGGGAAACACTTTCTGCATCATTTTCATCATGTCATTGCCGGCAGCATCCCGTACCTCTTCCATCTGACTTCTGTTGGCATGGTTGGAAAAAGCCTCAAGGACAGCTGTCGAAATTACTGTAAAAAAGTAACAACGATATATTTTTTTTTTAATTTGGTGGATTTGATACCCAGGCAGGTGGAACCGGTGCTGGCGACAGGATTTGCTCAAAAGTGGGGGCTGATATCCTGTCGCTGATGGGATGAAATGGGCAAGGCTAGAAAGGGCCACTACCGTTTTAATACATAGCTAATTATATTCAAATTTGTTTTGTCGTATCGTAACCATAAATAATAATCTTGAACATCGTTGTAGCCATTTAACTCCTAAAGAACTAAATTTCAAAATTTCAAAACAAACTTAAGATTATCAACAAGAATTGCTTTAAGATTTATAAGGAACTTTTTCCCCAGGAGACAACACAAAGTTGGTCAAAACCATATAACTTTAACACAGTGGTTCAATCTTCGCATAATGTTCTGCTTTCATGTAAACAGAGAAAGTTTATTAAGCGCATAAACTATTATCCGACTTCATTGTTCAAAATGGCCCACAATAACTGTCTATGGAGCTAAAAGATTTCTTTAGAATTGAATTTTTTACCGATTCACACGGCAAAATCACAAATATACGGACTACTGTATGTTAAGAGAGACAGGTCATTGCTAATTGTGTTATTGTAATGTATCTTCATCAAACCAGCTGATAAAGGCTGTATGAAGTTTGAATTTTTAAGACAAAGCAATTCTTTTTCTCGATCATAAAATTACAGGGGACCCAACTTTAGAAATTTCCAAGGATGTGAATTGTGAAAATCAATTAAAAAAATGATTAAAAGAGGTTCTATCGATCTCAAAATAGGGCCCCATCTTATCCAGGTCAATCCGGCACCAGGATATTTTTATGTCTAACCCAAAACCGATAAAAGAGGCCATCCTAGAGGAGCAATCCTTTCGCGAATGGTAATGCAAAAAACAAAAATTCTGAATAATATGTGTATAATTTAATAATACAATACATTAAAATATACTTTATTCGCAACTAAAAACAGTTGATTTGCACAAAGATAAGAAATTTAAAAATTGCCTTAAAAGTTAAAAACATCAAAACGGAGACGGTAAACAAAATTACATAAAAGAGGAAAACAGAGAATATTATCATACTTATTATCAAAGTAATAACAATAATTATAACGATATTATGATCATCATCATGATTATTATTATTCTTATTATTATTATTATTATTATTAATATTTATACAATTATTATATTTATACAATTTATTGTGAAAATTAGAAGATTACAAAAAAAAAAAAAGAGAACCGTTTCGGCCATTGTTGGAGCAGTTCACCCGACTACAGAAAAAGATGAGGTTGAAAGAGTCAACCAATGAGAAAGATAGTCTGCAGAATGAGAATAAAAATTCTAATCACGGATCAAATAATGAGACGTGATGTTGAAATTGCAACAAAATAAAGTAATTAAAAAGTATGAAGTTCAACTTTACGACTAACTCGACGTTAGTGAGACTCGAACTATAGCTACAATGGTAATAGAGACGTACATAGAGACTCAGCACCATTGCGCGGTATATGAACAGACCCTGCGTAGGTCAGTGCATTTTCAGTTCATAGTAATTTAGTGATTGAAAGCAACGAATTGTTAATGCATTTCACGGTAATTTTGCGTTTAATCTAGCTGTAGTTGATTTAAACGTTTTAGCAATTGGTTCTCATATCATTAGCGCACTCCGGATCGTCACAACAATTTAATCATTTCTTCATTGGAAAAACTATTTCGGAAAGTTTCATTTATCTGTTTATAAGTTATTAGACATAGTTAGGTCTGGGATCCTAGCAATATTAATGACCCTGAAATTCACACCCGAATCGGAATCATCTCTAAGGTTTATAAAATACTTCCTTATAATATGATTAAAGTTTCCAGAAAGTCGAAAACCTACTCCGGATCGTCGCCAACATTTTATCATTTCTTTAGTGGACCATGAAAAACCATTCTGTAAAGTTAAATTTGATCCATGGTCAGTTTTGGAGATATTTAGGTCTAAGACCTTAGCGCTTCAAATGACCCCAAACTTCACACTTGGATCTATATCGTCACCAAAGTTTTCTTCCTTGTAATTTGGTTAACCTTTCCAAAAGGATTCTTTCATTTGAGTTGGTCAGTCTTTGGTATATCTGGTTCCCTATGAATAGTCTTCATATCCACACCCTACTCTGGATCGTCACCAAAATTTAATAATTTTTTATTGAACCATGACAAACAATTCTATAAAGTTTTATTTAGATGCATTCATGAGTTTTTGAAGATATTTGGGTAAAGGACGTTGGAATTTTAAATGACCCTCAAATTCTCACCCACAACTGGATGGTCACCAACATTTAAATTTCTCTTTCTTGTAACTTGGTTAAACTTTCCCGAAAGTTTCATTCAGAACAGTTGATCTGTTTTTGAAATATCTAATTTGCCATGGGACGTTTTTCTTTGTATGGTCCTCATATCCACACCCTACTCCGGACCGTCACTAAAGTTTAAGCATTTCTTTATTGGCCCATACCTAACATCTGTGCAGCAATTTTTGAGAGATATTTTTAACACCCCCCCCCCCACACACACACACCCACACACGTGCGTGCTCACACACACACGAAATCATGAAAAGGTAACACACACACAAACTCACACGACTGAACATATATATCTCTTGCCGGAGAAGATGATGATAATAATAATAATAATAATAATAATAATAATAATAATAATAATAATAATAATAATAATAATAATAATAATAATAATACATACATACATACATATAATAATAGTAATAAAACATACAAATTCAATAATAAAAAGATTGGGGAAACACAATATAAAAGCAGTAAACATTTAAATAAAAAAACACTTTCAAACTTTCAAATACAGACAAAATCAGGCTAAACAATGTATGTCATAAAAGTTTAAAAAAATCGAAATAATAATAATCAATAAGAAAAATAAAATTTTAAAATATAAACAGAATGAAGTATTAAAAAAATCGTCATAAATGTGTAATAATTTTAAAAAATGGCAGTGATTTTGCTCCTTTGCCGTTTTGGTATATGCATATGCCGTTTTGGTACTTGTCATTGACGTTTTGGTCTGTTGCCGTTTTGGTACTTTTAACATTGCCGTTTTAGGTCATTGCCGTTTTTAGCGGCTACCATCATTTCATTAAGCATTGCACCGCAGGAGCACCGTCGAAATATTCTCGCAACAGCACACAAATTCCGCATGTCAATGAGTTGCGCTACCTGAGCCAAGGTGACGAAATCACGCGTTGTTAACGGAGCTCAGCCTCTCGGTACGGTGAAAGAATTCATTTTCCAATAAGCAGTGCAGACTAGCTAACGGACTTCATATAATCTTTTAAAAACAAACAGTTATAAAAGGACCAAAATTTAAAATGAAACTACGTAGACTGTTTGTAACAGGAAAAATTAAACTTTAAGCAATAGGCCTAAATATGTAACAAGCACACACGGCAAATAGGAAAAATAGAGAAACAACGTTTTATCTCTTAACAAAGCGCGTCCATATTAGCAAGTTTGATGAAGGAAAAACATACATTATATTTCCTGCCCGACGAATTGTGGTATTTATACCTGACGGGATCGGGTGGGGGGAGGTGGGGTTTCACTCCTCCGCTGGCACTAGCTCTGGCGGGATGTACCATAATGCCTGCTACATGAACAAGAACACTACAAGCAAAGCCTGGCACAGCTCCTGAATAAAAGGACTAACAATAACCAATATGGAGCCAATAATCTATATATGACTTTTGTTGAATACAATAAATACTTGCCAAAAAAAAAATAAAAAAAAAAAACTAACAATCTTAGTAACAACCCTAGGAAGGCTGCAGTGGTCTTGAGCGACTGGTAGTGAAATACAAACGGTTGGTATAAGAATACGTTTGTGATTAGTTTAGACAGATAGTTTTACCCATCGATCCTCATTTTCAAACGTTGTATTGGTCTTAGCAGTTTACAAGTTCTAGTTGTATTTCATCGTCATTAGCAAACAAATACAGGTTTTTTTTAATTAACTATATTAGTAGAGCTTGTTTTGTATGGTAAGTAACGTTTGCATCTGTCGCTTGCATGTCCTAATCTCGGATATTTAATCCGGGCGTAACAATTTTACCGAATCAGCATGAGCACTAATAATTTTGTTCGCCAAAAATTTCAAATTCTCTGGATTCAAGTAATATTATGCTCGATAAATAAATAATAAATAAATATGTTAACCAATCTCCAGCAGGAAAATTTGGCACCAACAAAAGGAAGTTGGTAGTCAGACTTCTATTTGTATAGTAGTTTACGGTGTTCAGCAAAAGCAGCTGTAGCCCAACTAACAGGTAGATTTATTTCCTTTGCACCAATGTGTACATCATTATAGTTATTTCACACTCCCAGGTACTTAACGCACCTTGAGTTCTAAGTGGCATCAAGTGCACTCATTTTCTCTTCCAGATTGGAGTGATCCTATTTATACACCATTCTGTAGGAGTCGCTTTCTTTTTTCAAATGTGTTGAAGGTATTCCCATAGATTTTCCAAAGCAAGTTATTAAAACATGGTCCCGGTTATTTTTTTTTTTACCTTTTAGTATCCAGAAAAAATCCTAAAGACGTGACAAGTACATTAATAACAGAAATGTGTATTTTGAAATCTAAACGGTTTAATCGAAGCAAGCAAAAACATACGTTCTCCAAAGATTGTCTCCCTCTCCTTAGGAATACTTAATTTGGGGTTTTGACTTATTAAGGAGAGAGGTTTTTCATCTCAATACTAAAATTAGAACCGCTATACAAGCAACCCGTATACCTTTTTACTATAAACATGTCATGTGTATGTTGATATTTGTTTGGTTCAACAGTTTAGACCTATCATA